ACATTAAAACGGGTAGGTCCCAGACCCGCGTGTGGTGTTTGAGGATTAGGAGAACTATTTTGGCTGTGGAGGTCCCCCTGGAAGAGTGAGTCTCACACTGGGTTCTGCAGCACAGGGTTCCAGTGCCAGGAAGAGAAGTCCCACTACTTCTGGCTTTGTAAACCAGTGGAGATTGTGGCTGAGTAAGACAAAGGGCCTCTGGAGGCACAGACATTACTTCTAAGGGGTCTGCGTGCAGACGTACTTACTCACGGACTTGCTCTGAGCTCCACCACTGTGGCAGTAGCTTGAAAGGCTCTGCGGACATATTGGGAGGAACTGAGTTGGCTTTGGGGCGAGGTCTGGAGGGGTAACTTTCTCCCAGATAGAAATGCTGGCAGAGGGCACTATTTCTTTGTTGAGTCCTCCCCATTGCCCCCAGGTGTGTCCCTTATATGGGTTGCATGTACCCTCCTGTTGTACTTGAGCCTTGATTGCTGCTGGCACATCAGTGGGAGGGATTGATTCTCAGGCTGATTGGTTGTAAGAGCTGGCTGTGACTATAGTGGAGGAGCTGTTGTATAGGCATTGACCTCACAGAGCTTTAGCGGGACTCTGGTACTTGCCCAGCTTTTGGGTGCTTCATGTGTGGAGGTGGTTGGGTGTTGCTCTGGTGTGGTCTGAAGCTGGCCATCGATTGTGTTGGTCTGGGGCCTCTTTGGAAGGGCTCTTTTGTAGGCCAAGTTCAGCTGCTGCCTGTGCTTTGCCTGGGGACACTTGGTATGAGCTAAGAAGTAATCTGCAGATAGTTGCCACTTGTGCTAGGCTTGGAGGTGCCTTGGAGAGGATAAGCTATGAACTAAGGCTGGCTGCCGCTAGTGTTGGGCTTGGGGCTACTTAGGAAGAGGTATGGGGCATGCCAAGGCCAGCTGCTGCTTGTTTGGGGTTTGTGAACCTTTGAGAGATTTTAGGAAAGTCTAAAGCATGAGCCAAGACAGGCTGTTTGTATGGAAGAGCCATTGGAAATTGGCTTGGGTGGGCCCACAAGTTTGGTAGGGCAGGGTCTCAGGGAACCACCAGGGCAAGGTGAACAGTTTTACGTAGGTTAATGGAGACTCAGATATGGTGCTTGCCTTCACCAGTGTGTGTAGGCTGGGTACAGGGAAGGCTCAACAAAGGAACAGTGGCTTCTACCAGCACTTCTGTCTGGGAGAAAGTTGCTTCTCCAGCTCTTGCCTCAAAGCTAAACAATTTTGTTTCTCCCTGTATGTTGCTGGCACCTTTCGAGTTGCTGTCCTAGTGCTGGAACTTAGAGTGGTGAAAAGTCCATGCATGGGCCTTTAAGAAGAGTGCCTGGGACTTTAGCTGCCCTCTGTCTCACTCAGCCACAATCTCTGCTGGCTTTCACAGCCAGAAGTTATGGGGACTTCTCTTCTTGTCACTGGAACCTTGGGCTGGGGAACCTGATGTGGGGCTGGGATCCCACACTTCTCAGGGGTGACCTCCACAGCTGATATACACCTCCTGATTTTTAACTGCCTCATGTGGGTGTGGAATCAGCTTATTCTGTGTCTCCACCCTGCTACCAGTCTTCCCAAGGCTTCTTCTATATCCTTAGTTATAGGACTTCTGTTCAGCTAGACTTAAGGTAGTTCTCAATGACGGTGTTCTATAGTTTAGTTGTAATTTTGAGGTGGTTGTAGGAGGAGGAGAGCACAGTGTTTGCCTACTCTGCCATTTTGACTGGAAGCTGAGTGTGCACATAGTAAATGTTTGAATTAATATCTACTAGATCAGGGACTCTGATGATGGGCCCATGTGCTCTGAGAGCTGTCATAGCAGCCAAGTTGTGAGTTGGCCAAGAGAGGAGCTAAGACCTGTCCCTAGAGTGAATACACAATGGTTGCTATTCCTTCCCAAGCTTTTCACGATATAGAAGAAATAAAATAATTTTTTTTTTTGTAATTAGCTTACAAAATAGTAGAGCCTGCTTTTAGTGCTAACTTGTACTCATGACTCTTCCTCTGGGAAACCCTTTAGCGTGGCAAAGAACCCTACATATATATTTCTATAACACTTTATTGAGGTAAAATTTACATTTGATGAAATTTACCCATTTTAAGTGTATAGTTGATGAATTTTGAGCAATGTATGCACTTGTGTAAGCACTCCAAAAAATTCCCCTGTGCCTTGGCTGCTTCCCTTAAAAAAAAAAAAGAACAACCAAAAACTGGTAAAATACACATAACATAAAATTTACCATTTCTAAATGTACTGTTTGGTGGCATTAAAAGTACACTCACATTATTGTGCCACCACCACCACCATCAATCTCCAGAATTCTTTTCATCTTGCAAAACTGAAACTCTGTACCCATTAAATAATAACTCCCCATTCCCTCATGCCTGTAGTCCCTGGCAACCACCATTATACTTTGTCTCTATGAATTTGACTTTTGTCTTTTTAAAAAAATTATCATTATTCTGGTAAAAAAAACCCATAAAATTTACCATCCTAACCATTGTTAAGTGTACAGTTCAATAGTGTTAAATAATAGCTTCTGTTTTTTTTAAAGTACATTTAGGTTTAGTTGTGAGTGCAGAAAACTCCAAATAACAGTAGCTCAAACACAGTATTTCACAGCTGCTCTGACAGCTCTACCATCACTAGGAATCCAGGCTGCTATCTTGTGCTTTGTCATTTATAACATAATGCTTCTATCTCATAGTCCAAGATGGCTACTCTAATTCCAGCCATCAACTCCACATTCCAGCCACTATGAAAGTGAAAGGGAGAAAAAGGCATATATTCTCCCTTTAAGAGCACTTTGTAGAAATTACACACGTCATTTTGTGCTTATGTCTCATTGGGCAGAACTTACTACATAGGCTTATCTTGCTGCAAGGGAGCTGCCTTCTACACCATGTGTCCACTTCCATACTGTCACCTGTCCCCAGGTTTTCCTTCTTCCAGGCAGTCTTCAAAGGACATGATCCCCCCTTAGGGGTGGGTGGATATTTGGGGCTGAGAGCTCTGGGCAGGAAGGCAAACCCACCTTTGTCCTGAAGTTACGACTGGGTTGAGCAGAAAAGAGCTGATGACTCTCACACTTTGCCAGTACTCCAAAGGACTCCAGCCCTAAGATTTCTTCAACAGTAGATGAGGAAATGATTTATTCTTAATTTGGGATTTGCTTCTTTCATATGTAAAGACAAATACGCCCTTTACAACATGAAAACTGCAAACATGGAGAAGTAAAAGTCATGTTGAAGAGGCTGGAGGACGCATGTCACAGGTCCCTGGACACCTGGCAAATTTACTGGTTGGTTGGTGAGAGTCCCAGGGTCTCCTCATGGTGATCCCCTCTTCATCCTGAGGGAGTCCCTTGAAGTCTGTGAGACCCTCCCACTGTGCTCCCTACAGGTATTCCTGTCTTGGTGGACGATCTAATCAAAAATGGGGGTATGGAGAGGAGCTTCTGTTGCTATTGAACAAGAATTCCATGCCCTAATGTGGGGAATGAGATGGCTGAGGGGACACGGGAGAGAGGTGAGGAGAGGTGGGGAGTAGATTGATGAGTTGGGGTCTGGGGCATGTGTGTGGGAACCAGAGGGCTTGCCCTAGCCCTCTTTATAATTAGCCAAGTCACTGCAGACATCCCACAGCTTTCACAAGACCTCCCAACATGACCAGAGAGGAACTGGTGGCAGTTGTGCCTACCTCTGAAAGCCCGCAGCAGCCCAAGTCCACAGCATGGTCTTTCTGATTCGGCTTATGTTGTGAGGCCTGATGGATCTGACTAAGTCGTAGGGCCCCTTCTCAGTCCCAGGCCTGTTCCCTTCTCCTTTCCTGTCTTCCTACAGTCTTTGGTCCTCTGATGGCCTCTGTGGCTTCATAAGTTAACCCTACCCACTGCAGGCCTCAGGTTCTTCTCCCCTAAGCATGGCTGCAGAGAGCAATACTGTCTCTCCAGAATCCTTGTAGAATATGGCTGCTCAACTCTTCAGGTAAACAGTGCCAGGGTATGACAAAGACCATATATGAGGCATTGCACAGGTACCAGGGTCTTATGGTATTTTCACTTAGCTTCCCAATTCCTTCCAGAAAAACCTTCCAGCTTTACCTCTTACTACCCTAAGAGTGACATTTGAACTCCCTGCCCCCACAGTCTCTTCTCATTTTCTTGGCACAGTGCTGGAGGCTCAAAGCAAGGCAGAACAAGAGGGGCCTGTGTCCATTGACATTCCTACCTCTGGAGACTCCATGGTAGCTGCACCATGTTGAATGACTGTCAGCCAACATGGGGATGGGTGGGCATCATGGTAGGTGCCACAGGCAGCTATCTCCTCCTGTGGACCTCTCTTGCCCTTTTTGGGTATGGTCACTACAGGGGCTACTACAGGGGCATTGCTGGGAGCTGTCAGGAGGGTTGGAAGCTGGTGGCATGAATTTAGATCCTGGGCCTTTAAGCAAATGCTCAGAAAGAATCCTCTTATCCAGTGCTAAATACCAAATGAATCAGCCTCTGGATAGTTGCCATCCCCCTGCCCACTGCCAAATTTCCTGGCAAAGCAGAGGATGTCTGGGGGCTGCCTCACTTGGCTGGCAACTGGAACCTGGAACCACCTTGTGATCCTGTTCCAGCCCCCAATGCCAGGATGAGCCCTGATGCTCATCAGTCTACTAATTGCCCTTTAGGGGAGACAGACAGAGATGGGCCTCAGTGCATCTCCCCACCCCTAGACTTTTATTTGGCCATATTGGATTTAAGAAGAGATGTTGTCCTTACACTTTGATGATGCGGGTCGCTCCCACTGTGCCCCTTCCCTGCTTCCTTCCCTGCCCCAGCACTTGCCCTCTCCACAGCAGATGTCAACTCAAGCAGACATTTCTGAGAACAACCAAATCTGAGAAGAAAAAGAAGACTCTACACCTTAGTGATTGTTAACATATTCTGGAGCCAGGACCATGTGGCTCAGCCCACACGTTGGCAGATGAGTCTGTCATTCCTACCAGGTGAGTCAGCAGAGATGGAACATTCATTTATTTGGGCAAATGTGTCATGTTAAAGTCATTCTGAGAAGCCCAGCATGCAGTGGTCCACCCTGGTGGCAGGGAGGAGAAGGGCCGATGAAGGCAAAGAGGAAGAGGTGGCAGGCTGGACTTCCCGGATGCGTGGAGGAGGGCATGCCTGAGGACACACGGAGGGGCAAAGCAGAGTCAGGACAGTTTCCAGAGACTTGGTTTTATTGTGCATTTTTTTTTTCCTCATTGAGATGCCATAAACTATGTGGGCAGAGCCGCTGGGTGGGAAGCTGGATGTTGGGAAAAGCCATCTCTCAAGGTGTGTCCTCTCGTGGGTCTCACTCCATGGCCTGCCTCAGGTCCTTCAGAGATCCCCAAGAAGTCAGGCCTGTAGGGCAGGGGGCTGTCTGAGGATCAGGCACCAGTCAGCTAGGGTGGCACTGACTGGGAGGGAAGGAAAAGCCTCCTGAAGAAACACTTGAGCCAAACTGCACAGCTCTGGGGCTCCCTCTGGCCTGCCTTGCTGCCTCCGGAGTTCCAGAAGCTCTTAGAAACTTGGGACAGCCAGGGAGGGGACTTTTCCTACTCTACCGCCCTTTCAACTGCTGGTTGAGGCAGTGAGGGACAGTAGGCTCCGATTTTTAGCATTCTCAGGTAGGGAGGTATGATGGACCCTTCCTCTACCTTGCTTCTCCAACCCTCTATTAGCACTGTTCCCCAGGCAGAATCTGCATTTCCACTGGACCATGCCTCTGGCCCAAGGCCCCTAGGGGACTTCTGCAGTGGTAAGAGGACAGCTTTTTTGCTGTGGCAGAGAATGCTTCTGGAGATGCTCAGTACTCCTCTCATGTGATGGACCACAATTGCTTAGTGGTGCCCTCACATCCAAGGTCTTTGGGTGCCTCCTTGCCTGCTTGGAGACTCACTAGACCCAAACATACCCCACCTCTCTCCTCATCATGGTCTCTCCCAGGCTTCTAGTCCCGGTGGGCAAGGATGACTCCCTCAGCAACTGGTACTTCTCCATCTTACAACCCCTCACATGCCCTCACTCTCCATCAGGTCCCCAATACTGGCTTCCCTTTTTCACAAACTCCCACAGAAAAGGATGGATAAGCCCTAAATAAACCAGACAGAAGCAGCTCTGGAACAAAGAGGACAAAAAGCCAGTAGCGTGAGGAGAGAATGTGAGGTGGCAGTGGGGGAGTGGGTAGATAATGGCATGCAGCACTGGAATTCCTTATGAGGGGTGGGGTCCCCATTTCCCCCCAAGATGTATAAGGGATTGGAGGAGGGGGGCAGCCGACTCAAGAGAAGTAGGATCTCGGGACCGGGCCTTGTGGCTTCCTGTGTCTTTTGTGGGTCCAACCAATCACAGGGAGATGAAATCCATAGCTTGCAAGAGGGGCAGGGAGAGCAGGGGCAGCAGCAACCACGAGGTGTTCTGGGTCAGCAGGCTTATGCCTCCACACTTGACCAGTTTATCTGTGGAGAGAGAATGGGGTAAAGGGGTAGGGCAGGAATGAAGAAAGACCAGGACTCAGCCACAAGCACTGAGCAAGGGCACATGGGGAAGCTGGCGCCATGATATCTTGGCTGGAACCAGGGCCAACTTGGTCTAATAGAACCATTTTTCCCATTTGCGGGTTCCTGAGCCCTTGAACAAACACCATATTAAATCTTTACTAAGCATCCTCACAAGAAAACTGTGGGTGAGGTAGCTGGCAACAACCCTGTTTTCCAGGTGAGGAGAAGGAGCGCTGGGGAGATCAAGTGATTTGCCCGCAGTCATGGTGGAAGCCTCTGCTACACCACTCTGCCTGTCTGACTGTCCCCTTAGCCTTTCCCCCCATTTACACTGAAGGCAGTGATTACTCAGGGCACAGGCAGCAGTTGGGGGAAGGGGAGGGAGGTTATAGGGCCCCTCTCCTCTCTGGCCCAGCCAAGGGGACTGCTTGCTGTCCTAGGCAGCCCATTTCTCCCCAGCCTGCCTCTCCCAGCTTACTTGGACTTGCTGTAGGCTAGCCTCACCTCTGAACACAGAAACAGTCTTGTTGTAGGAGGTAGGGTGCTGGCTAGAGAGGCGAAGTTCGCATGTGTATACTCCCTCGTCCTTGGTGGTGAAGCTGGATAAGTAGAGGACCTTGATGTTGTACTTGCTGGTGAAGTTGGTCCGGGAGCGGTATGTGTGTTCAGGCACCCCCACGGTGCCAAAAAGCACGTGCTTCTTTGAATCACGGGTCAGGCTGAACTCGTACTGGATAGGTATAGTGGTGGTATTCTCATGGCGGCAGTCCAGACGAAGGCTCTGGTCCACGAGGCAGGCCGTCAGGCTGGTCACCTTCTGCCCACTGGCTACCTGCAAGACTGGCACAAGCAGTGCCTCTCTGAATTGGGGGGACCTGTAGAGCAGGGGGCCTTCCATCCACATTAACAGTAGAGAAGGGCCTGGCCAGGGAGAGTTCAAGGGTCTGTTCTCTGAGTGCCTCTCCCCACCCCAGAGCTCCCTGCTGCAGACCCCAGCCTCCTTCCCTCATCCCCTCTAGTCCTGGGTCCCTTAGTCGCCTCCACCTTCTGAGGTCGTGAGGAGGAAGCTAGCTTCTCTGAAGGAAAGGAAGCCAGGGTGCTTGGAATCCCAGCCCTGCCCCTTGCCCAGTACCTGTTAGCAGGAGAGCGATACCGATGGCAGGGTTCATGGTGTCAAGAGCTCAGTTCTGGATCTGAGGGTAGGAAAAGGATGAGAATCAGCCAGGAGATGAGGCAGATGTGTCCACACTTTCTTCCATATGGCCATGGCAGACATTTAAGTCATTCTCTATGCAAGTGACACTGCTGCTACTTGTTCTTTTCTCCTCAGGGAAAGCAAGAGGGGGAGGGGGAATGTACCCTCGCTTTGAGTAAGTGACTTTAACTTTACCTAATTTCTTTTCCCTTCAGGAAGGTAGGGACTTCCTATTTGTAATTGTAAAGTACATGTAACACAAAATTTATCATCTTAACCATTTTTAAGTGTACAGTTCAGTAGTGTTAAGTTCATCTATATTGTTGCATAACCAATCTCCAGAACTCTTTTATCTTGTAATAACAGAACTCTCTACTCATTAAACAAAAACTGCCCATTCGGGGATTTCTTGTTCAGAGGAAAATCCCCAATGTCCAAACAGTTCCTGGCACATAACAAATGCTGAAAAGATATTGAATGAATGAATGAATCTGAGCTTTAGAGACCAACAGAGCTGTGATGTCATTAAGAAAACGTGACGAACATCTGGCACTTTGCTCCATAGTAAGTGGTTCACAAACTAATTTCCATCCTCTTAGTGACTGTGGTTAGCGATGATGTTGGGTGTGTGTGGCTAAGGTGCTCTGAGATAGGACAGGCTACGGGAGTGTGAGGGAAAGTGAACATATTCTTACTGAATATGTTGTCTGATTGCATAGAAACCAAGATGTTTCCAAATGTCCAGCTCTCTGGACAGGATTCCTGGGCCTGCAGTTTTCCAGTCTGGCTTCAGTAGCCTTGCTGCTTGGGCTCTCTGCCCTGTCTTTATTTTGCAGCCTAGGCTAGACCAACATCCTGGCGAGCTGACCAAGCCTGTCTACAGCCTACAGTGGTGCTTGCAGGCGTGCAGCTGTGAGTGTGAGCCCCGGTGCGCATGGTGGGCCTCTGCTCTGTCCAGGGTCCCCAGCGTTGTCCTGTGGCAGAGCGGTCTGGAGTCCCACTGAGACTGCGGCTACAATTAATACTGTCTCTGACCCTTGCCTAGAGGGACCTGGGCTTGCTATTGGAGAAGAAAGAGGGGTCAGTGAAATGTGTTTCTGGCTTTGATTCTCAGACACTGAATTACAGAGGAGTGCTGCGAGTTTGGGATCTAAAACGGAAGTGGCTGCTACAACTAGAAAGGGAAAAGGGGCTAGAGCTGAAGGGGGATGTAGAGCCAAAGGGAAGGTTAGAGAGCGGTAGGGGAGGCACAGCCTGTTTTCATCTCCTATGTGCTTTGCCTTCGCAGACCAGAACCAAGAGAAGCTCTGCACTCCCTCCCTCTTTAGCCCCTGTTCGACTAGCCCCACCCTTATTCCTTTTCCGTATTGCAATCTTCTCCTTTCTCTATTGAGGTCCCCCTTCCCCCTCTCTCATCATTTTCCAGTTCTCCCCTCCCCGGTCTGTCTGCCTTCCTCCCAGTCTCCACCCGCGGCACTGCGGTTTCCCATTCTTCAATGCCCCGCACCCAGCTCATCAGCTTGCCATTCTCTGTTCTCCCCCTGCCCCAACTTCAACGCCCCTCCCCCCACCTTTGCAAGCTGGGTCTGGGGACGTCTGGGTGGTGAGCGGAACCCAAGGCTGTCCTTGGCGCCCCTTCTCCCGGTTCTCCTCCATTGCCCCAGCTCCAGGCAACCATCCCCGCAGCAGACGAAAGCCCTGGACGCCCTCCTCAAAAGGTGAGGTGCAGCGAGGCCCCCGGCCTGTGACAACTGAGACCCGCTCCCGCCTCTGCCTGGGCTGACCCCTCCCCAAGCACTGCGTGGCTCTTTCCCAGGGCGCCCTCAGACCGTTTCTCGAAGCCTCGGATTGGGAGGGCTTGCATGGGCACCTGGAACCTCTCCCTGGATCCCGCCGTGGCTCCCACTCCCACCTGAGCTCCTGTCCTCCGCTGCTGTAGCCTCAAGGCGCGCCGCTGCCTCCAGTTGCTGCACCCTGCCCAGCGCCCGCAGTTTTCACCAGGGGTGGGGGAGGGGGAGAGGAGCGGGAGGGCCTGGGGGTGGGGTGAGGGTGGGGGCTCGGCCAATCAGAGGCTGAGGGGGAGCGAGATAGGATAGCTGGAGGAGGAGGCAGTGGCCAGTATTGGTGTGGAAGAGTGGCAGTATGCCGCAGAAGGGGGACCTTACTCTGGCTGATGAGCCTGGCCAGGGAACCCGCGGATCAGGGTGGGGCAGCTCAGGGGCTGCCTCCCAGAGCCCCGCAATGATTACCCCCCTTTTAAGGATTTAACCCTTTCTTCTGGCCAAGGCTTTCGAATCCTGTGGGAAAACCAAGGGATGAGGAGTGGAGGATGGAGGCCCGCAACAGTCCCCTTGAGCAGTGCGCTTGCTTCTTCGTTCTCGTTTCAGCTAGAGCTCATCTCCTCTGGAGGCCCCTCACAGTGAGAGGTTTGGGAATTGGAATTTTCCAGGCTTTCTCCAAAGGAAGGTGGTAGGTCCCCACCCCGCTCCTTCTTTTACATTGGAGCAGCCCTTTGGAAGCAAGGCAGGCACTGCTCCCAGTTTTTCCTGGTCCCCAGCCCTGCCCCACCCCCTCCTCTGTAGACTCCTCAGCCCTTCAAGGGCTTTCTGCTCTGGGGCACTCCGTCTCAGTTCCTGGGCTGGCACCTCTCAGCGCCGACAGCTAGAAGGTTTTGCTTCGTGATTTCTTGTACTCCAAGTCCCTACACTATGTGTGCTCCATCTTCAGACAAGGGAAGGAGTGCTGCTTTTTACCAAACACTGTGCTAGGCATGCTGTTCGCGCTCACGTTAACCCCTTTCTCAGAGAATCTGCTGGGTTCATCCCATCTCACTCCCACCCCATTTCATAGCTAGTAAGTGGGAGAGCTGGTCAGTCTACTTGGGCTGTGGAACTCCCAAGTCTTCAGTGCTGAGCCACTCCACTGCTGTATCCCAGCCCAGAGGGAGGGGAAATTATGGAACTGTGGGACTGAGGAGTAGATGGGACCAACTAGAAAGGAGACCAAGCTTTTAATTTCCTGGGGCACACGTCCTAGCTCCGTCAACTTGATGTCACCAGTTCTTGTTTTTTTTTTTTTTTTTATTGCCAATACTGATGACTTGTCTCTCTCACCCACAGGTAAGGTGAACTTTTTTGAACAATGGATTTTTTTGATTGATTTGCATTCTCATGGCCACTGTGTGAATTCTGGTCAGGACATCCTGTGGGCTGATGCTGCCTTCCTGCAGTCTGCCTGTCCATTCTCATATTTCCTCATAGAAGTCAGCCCTGGCAGCTTTGCTGCAGTTTCCATTACTGTAATGCTACCATTGGAAGCCAAATGCGGGCTAGCAAGTGCGAGATTGACTTCCCTCTCCCACCCTTGGAGATTAGATGGCTTCCAGCACTTGAGAGTGATGGAACTTGTTAACTTAAGAAGGAGCCTCATGGGTGGTCAAGTCCAGAGGCCATTCGTTCTGGTAAACAACAGAAGCTCTGGGGTACTTTATGAAAAATGCAGTTGCCCTGCCCACCTGGGATCTCCCTAGTCTAGCAGTAGAGCTGCCTGAGTCTGCACTTCTCACAGCTCTCCAGAATCTGGGGACTGCAGAACACTGGTCTGGTAAGACTGTCCTCTTCACAGATCAGGTAACTGGGCTTCTCATTTTCTGTAGGGTAATTTTTGAGGCCCTGGATGTCCTGGACCCTGGCTGCCATCATCCACCACCACCTCATCTTTCTCATTCATCTTCCTGCATTCCAGACACTCTGGCCTCCTCCCTGTCACTCCATGCAGTGTTTTTATTTTTACTTTTATTTTTTAAATTTTTTTCCTGCTTAACAGCTTTCTGATTCTAAGTCCAGGGATTGATCTTATCGGAACACAGTTGCTTTAGCTTGGAGCCTAATCCTCCTCCTTTCTCTGTCTCTGTCTCTGTCTCTGTCTCTGTCTCATAATGACTTTACTGAGATACAACTCACATAGCTCTCTCTCTGCTCTGTCTCTGTATCTCTCTCTCTCTCTCTCTCTCTTACACACACACACACACACACATACACACACAGGAACTGGAGAGTTCCCTTTTTTTTTTTTTTGACAGGACATGGGTATACCCAAAGACCCTTTAATTACAGGAGATACCTGGACACTGGCTGGCTGAGACCCTGTGCTCTGTTTCCTACTCTATAGCCCAGTCTCAGAGTGTTGCTAGGTAGAAGGCCTAGCTATGCTATTTTGATAAGAGTATGAGAACCTGGCCTACTTTCTGGGTCCCCAAGCACTTTAGGAAGGGAGGGGAGTGTGGACTCTAGAGCAGCGGTCCCCAACCTTTTTGGCACCAGAGACTGGTGCTCCTATGAGGATCTAATGCCTGATGATCTGAAGTGAAGCTGAGGTGGTGATGTTAGTGCTGGGGAGTGGCTACTAATACATATGAAGCTTTGTTCGCTTGCCTGCTGTTCACTTCCTGCTGTGCAGCCTGGTTCCTTACAGGCCACAGACCAGCGCTAGCCCAAGGCCCATGGCCTCTTGCTCTAGAGGGAGTGGCAGTTGTTTTTCTGCTTAAGCAAGGTCTCCAGCTGGATGGAGTTAATGGCTCAAAAGAGATGTTCTAGGAACAAGGGTGGTGAAGGGGAGGAGATTTAAAAACTCCCATTTACTAATGGGATAGAATAAAAATGCTGCAAACAGGAAGGGTTTAGAAGCATCTAGCCAAGGCAAGATTTCCTAACAAACTGCGGCTGCCCTATTGGTCCCACAGATCTTTCTTCTCCCACCATCCCCAGTTGAGACACATGGGATAAAAACTCCTCTAAAAATGCACATTTCTTTAGGATGACTAAAGAAATACTTACTACCCATTTACTCTTCTTATTCACTGATTTTATCAGATTGTCTTTATAGAATCACTGAGGTGGCAGAAAACATCTTATCATTTTAGAGCTGGAAACTGAGGCCCAAGAAAGCTAATGATTTGTTAAAGGCTAGATTGCAGATCTCCTGACTCTTTGTACCATGATTTCTACTGCTCCCAGGGTGGATCTTCAGATACCTATTAGACTGGATTCACTGGTCCATGGTAAAATAAGAAAAACAAGGACAATGTGGGATACTCTGAACAGAAATCAGATTGCTACCTTGTTCTGATTGCTTCCTCTTCACTTTGTTGATGAGGGGAGATTCCCATTCTAGAGTTTTCAATTTGGCTGAACAGATGATATTTGACACAGGACAGATGAAATCAACAGTGGTTTATTAGTTACATACACTGACAGCTCAGAGGAAGACACCACATGCCATGCAAGACCACATAGGAGTTGCACTTGAGAACAGAATGGACAACTATGAGTTGCGGGAGGCAGGCTTTGTAGTATCAAAAAGGCAGGCCTGTTTCCCATGGGAAGATGTGATGGGCTTGTTTGAATAATTCTGTGGGCTGGCAGGGAACTGAAGCCTGCTAGTAAGGGATAAACAGGAACTATGCCTAGTCCCCATTATAAGAACAGTTGATGAGAAGAACTTTTGGTTAGGCCACTTGAAGCCCTCCCAGTTTTTCAGGTGTTAAGATAGCCCACACTATTGAGTTTTAATTTTGGGCTAATTGAGGACTTATGCCACATACCTCTCCTTCCTTGGGAAGGCCTATACTTTCATTCTAAGGTTATACCTTTCTGCTGTTTGGAAGTGGTGGTGGTAGATGGTATGTGTGTTTTTAATGTTCTTAGTAGGCAAAAAATTGATAACCTTCTGTGGATCCTTATACTTTTTTTGGAAATGTGACTAGTCTATGGAATTAAAAAATCTTGGAACCACTGCTCTATGCTCTGTGCCTCCCCTAATCTCTAGCTAATGTCACCTCTGAGTGAAGTCGCTCCCTGAGTGAGGTCACTCCCTGAAGAACCTCATGTGTAGTTATAGAGTATGACAAATATAAATGTTATCTCTTAGAATGCAGGGTTGAGGATGAGAGGACAAAGCACCAATGGAGATATAATTTTCAGCATTTAAGGACTTTATTCATGGATGTTTAATTAATCAAATAATTAAAAGACATCATTGTTCTAGGCACAATGTTCTTAGCATAGGGCTAGACCTTGAGAATACAAAGATCAATAGAACATAATCTTTGCCTTCAGAGGCTTGTCCAGTGGGGGAGACAGAAATGGTATATAGATAATTAGAAAACAACAGGGTTGTCTATGGCCATGCCACCCTGAACACGCCAGATCCCATCTGATCTCAGAAGCTAAGCAAGGTTGGGCCTGGTTAGTACTTGGATGGGAGACTACCTAGGAAGACCAGGTGCTGTAGGCGTAACCCCCCAACCCCCCAAAACAAAAAAACAGCAGGATAAGAGCAGAAGTAAAGATGTGTATAGAGTATTGTGGGAGCCCAAAGGAGGCACAATTGATGACCCAGTCTGTTAGAGAGGACATGGAGGAAGTGAAGCATGAACTGAGTCTTTAAAGATGAATAGGAGTTTGCCAGGTATGGTAGATTGTTACATTAATGGTCTCTAATGAATCCTGGTATCTGTGCCCTTTATGTGACTGCCCTTCCACACCGATTCTGGGCTTGGCCATGTGCCTTGCTTTTGCCAGTGGGCTATCAGCAAATGTGATGGAAGCAGAAGCTTGGTAAGGGTTTGTACTTTAGGACTTGCCTTCTTGGAATTCAGTTGCCATGTGAGGAAGTTTGAGCTAGCCACATGGAAAACTGAGGAGCTTCAGTTTATATCAACCAGTATTTGAAATTAGCTAGTCCCCAGTTCACCTGCCAGGGGGTCACAAAAGCATGTGTAACCCCAACTGATGTAACAGAGCAGAAATGAACCATTCCAGATAAGCTTACTATGGTGATTCTAAAACCTGAGTGCAAATTCTTTAATATTTCATTTGTGTCCCTTCTTGAATCTCAATGGGCTTGTGACTGCTTCATCCAATAGAATACTGCAGAACTGATGCTAAAAAGACTTGGCCTTAAAAAGCCATATAGCTTTGACTTTATTTGCTGGAACACTCACTCTTAGAGCCATCATGTA